AGCTTCATTTACCTTCCTTTATATTTGTTCTGTTATTTTTGAGTTACAGTAGATGTTGCTACTTACTTACAAAAGCGTGTAACGCTTCCTTTATGTTTTGCTGTTTTTATTTCCACACACGTGTGCTCACACGTGTGCTTAGTAAGTGAGGATTAGGTTTAGTTTTGCATGTTAAGTACGTTTAGTGAGCTGGGGGTTTTCTCTGTAATATGTAAGCTCAAAAGCTTGAACATTAATGGTGATCTGATTTTCCCTGAATATTTTTCCTCTCGTACATTCGATCCACAATATTTTTCGCAAATCTACATGGTATCAGAGCGGGTTAAGAGATGGCACACCACGATGAACAAGGTCGTCAATGGTAGGAAGAGGAACCTACGCGCGCGATACAGATCCTCTTGCCTTACATGGATCCGATCATCCTGGATTAATCCTTGTCACAAATCCGCTAACAGGTGCGAATTACCTCCATTGGAGCAGAGCAATGAAGCTTGCTCTAGGTGCAAAATCGAAGCTCGGCTTCATCAATGGAACACTACAAATCCCAGATCTAGGGTCTGAAGAACATGAACAATACCAGAAAGTGGAATTTATGGTAATATCCTGGCTACTTAACACCATTTCAAAGGAAATAGTAGGAGCTTTCATGTATGTTAAAAATGCTAAGCAGCTTTGGGATGAGCTTGCAGAGAGGTATGGTGAATCTAACGGGCCTTTGAGGTACAAATTACAGAAAGAAATTGCCACATTTTCAAAAGGCACAATGTCTGTCACTGATTACTACACAAAGTTGAAGTGTTTATGGGATGAATTTTCTTTCCTTGTGTCAATACCTGATTGCCATTGTGGGTCTGGAAAGGCTTTTAGTGAAATGGATATGGAAATAAAGCTGATGCAATTTCTCATGGGGCTAAATGAAGTCTTTGAACCAGTCAAAAACCAGATCCTGCTGCTTGATCCTTTGCCAACCGTAAACAAAGCTTATTCAATGATTTTGAAAGTAGAAAAACAGAAGAGTTTGAATGTCAATGTGAGTCAATTTGAAAATTCTGCCATGATGGTAAGAGGGACTGCAGGAAGAGGAATTGGCAGAGGGCAAGGCTTTGGAAGAGGAAATGGAGGTAGGAACTCTTCTGGACAACAATCTAAGGGAAGGGGATTGCCAAGATTGTCAAAAGAAGAGAGAGCTAAACTCTATTGTACCCACTGTGGATACAATGGCCATGAGATTCAAGGGTGTTTCAAATTGAATGGTTATCCAGATTGGTTCAAGGAGCTAAGAGAACAAAGACAGAACCAAAGTGTTAACATGGCAGAAAAAGATGACTGTTCTAAGACAGATTCAGAAACCAAATCTCAACACAGTGATTCATCAGCTGACATTGGTTCCCTTATTGAAAGGGAAGTAGCTAAATACTTGTCAAAGAAGCACAACTCAGAGCTGCACACCTATTCACATTTTGCAGAACTAGATGAAAATCAGGAGGACTATGCTTTCTCAATGGTCAACAAAAGTGCCAAAGGAAGTTGGGTTATTGATACTGGTGCAAGCAAACACATTTGCTGTGATGAGGATTTACTATGTGAAAAATCAGAAGTTCTAACTCCCATTCAAGTAAATCTACCAGATGGTTCTAAGGTGAAAGTCACTCAGGTTGGTAAAGTGAAATTTAACAATCAAATTGTGCTCAAGGGTGTGTTGCTCATACCAGAATTTAAACATAACCTGCTGTCAGTGGGCCAACTTGTTGAGGAAAGTGGACTATGCTTCAGCTTCACTAACACAGGATGTAAGTTGATGGACACAAAGGAGAACTTGATCATTGCAGTTGGACAAGCCATGGGAGGTTTATATGTTATACAATCAGATGGGGTGTACATCAATGCAGTGGATGAAGAGACACATAATAATAAGGAAATATCTTTGTGGCATAAAAGACTTGGTCACACTTCAGTCCATTGCTTAAAACACTTGCCATTTGTTAAGGGAAACTGTTCTAAAGAAGAGTTAGGTCTTTGTGACATTTGTCACAGATCTAAACAGCCAAGATTATCCTTCCCACTCAGCTGCATTCACACCAAAGCAAGATTTGAACTTATTCATGTGGATGTGTGGGGTCCACATAATGAAGAATCTTTGATGAATGTCTCTTACATGTTGACAATAGTTGATGATTTCACCAGGGCTACATGGATATATCTTATGAAATACAAATCAGAGACAATCAACCATCTGAGGTCATTTTTTAAAATGATTGAGGTACAGTTTGATGTGAGTGTGAAGCAGATGAGAACAGACAATGGAAGTGAGTTTGTCAATAAGGAAATGGAAAGTTTACTGAGGGAAAATGGAATTCTCCACCAAAGAACTTGCCCCTATACACCACAACAGAATGGAGTTGTGGAAAGGAAACATAGATCCATACTTGAGGTGGCAAGATCATTGTCCTTCCAAGCCTGTCTACCAAAGTTTCTATGGCCCTACAGCTTGATGGCAGCTGTGCAGATAATAAATACTCTACCCAGTGATAAGCTTGGTTGGAAATGCCCCTTTGAGTTACTACATGGAACAGCACCAATCTATGCAATGTTCAGGATATTTGGCTGTCTATGTTATGCTAAGAAACTTGAGCCACATAGAAGGAAATTTGATGAAAGGGCAGTAGCCTGTGCAGTCTTGGGATATGTCTCAGGGACAAAAGGATATAGGGTCTATAATTTACAGACTAAGGACATCTTCATCACTAGAGACATTGTGTTTTATGAAGACAAGTTTCCCTTCTTTCAAGAAAGGGAGACTGAGGGTGTACAACAAACTGCCATGCCTCTACCTGTTATTCAGAATGAAGTGCAAGAATACATTGAGCCACTTCCTACACCTGGCCTTCAAGAACACAACACCACAGAACCAGAAGCTGTGCCACAGAGGAAAGGCAATAGAGAAAGAAGGCCACCTTACTGGATGAAAGACTATGTGAGTGAACTGCCTGCAGACAATGATGTACACACATTCTTTTCTGTGGTAGGTCAATCCATTTCAGAGCCAATATTCTATGAACAAGCAATCAAGGATCAGAGATGGGTGGAGGCCATGCAAAAGGAGTTACAGGCCTTAGAAACAAATCAAACTTGGTGTCTAACTCAACTACCAAAGGGAAAGAGAGCCATAGGATCAAAATGGGTTTACAAAATTAAAAGAAACCCTGATGGCACCATTGATAAGTTCAAGGCTAGGTTGGTGGCAAAGGGGTATCTTCAGAGAGAAGGTATTGATTTCATGGACAGTTTCTCTCCAGTAGCAAAGCTTGTTTCAGTCAGATTGGTTATTGCCTTAGCTACTCAAAACAAGTGGGAGCTGCATCATATTGACATAAATAATGCATTCCTCCATGGCTTTCTGGATGAAGAAGTTTACATGAGGCCACCAAAGGGATATACTAAGGCCAAGGCTGATGAAGTATGTTTGTTAAAAAGGAGTTTATATGGTCTCAAGCAAGCAAGTAGGCAGTGGAACATTGAGTTCTCAGACAAACTCATCTCTTATGGTTTTCAGCAGTCTCCACATGATCATTGTTTATTTTTTAAATGCACCAAGTCTGGAATGCTAGCTTTGCTCATCTATGTAGATGATGTCTTGATTACAGGAGAAAGTTTGCAAGAGATTCAGCATCTTAAAAGCTATCTTGATGATCTTTTCACAATCAAGGATTTGGGACAGGCCAAGTATTTTCTTGGCTTGGAGATTTTTAGAACTAATGAAGGAACTTATCTCAGTCAAAGGAAATATATACTTGACATGGTTCATGACATGGGTCTGGATGCTTCAAAAACCTCCATTACTCCTTTACCTGCTGGAATCAACTTGTCCTCCATAGAGTCTACACCATTTGACCGGCCAGAGACATATAGGAGACTTATTGGAAGGCTCCTCTATTTGAACTTGTCCAGGGCTGATATCTCTTATGCCATTTAACAGTTGAGCCAATTTGTGCAGGCACCAATACAGGCACATTGGAATGCAGCAGTTCATCTGGTAAGATATTTGAAAGGCAGTCCTACCCTTGGTCTTTTTTATGCAGCCCTACCTTCTTCCACACTTGAAGCATTTTGTGATGCTGACTGGGGTAGTTGCACAACTACTAGGAGGTCACTAACTGGATATTGTGTTTTTTTGGGAAATTCACTAATCTCCTGGAAGACTAAAAAGCAGAAAACTGTATCTCGCTCCTCAGCTGAGGCTGAGTACAGATCCATGGCCACCACAGTCTGTGAGTTGCAATGGTTGTCCTACTTAGCCAAGGATCTCACTCTGTCTGTTACAACTCCTATTTCCCTTTGGTGTGATAATAGAGCAGCCCTACACATCACAGCCAATCCAGTTTTCCACGAGCGCACGAAACATTTGGATATTGATTGCCATGTGGTCAGAAATAAGTTCAAAGAAGGCTTCATCATTCCAAGACATATATCCTCCTCTTTACAGCCTGCAGATGTGTTTACTAAAGCCCTTGGAGGACCTGACTTTCGTCGATTTCTTTTCAAGCTGGGAATGCGTGTTAATCGATACATTCCCGCTTGAGGGGGGGGTGTTGACTTGTTGATATATTTCAGCTCTTGGACCTGGTTCTTGCATGAAGACATGC